TGAAATCATGTGGGTAGGGCTGCCGCCACAAGACATGCCCCGTAAGTTCATGTTACAGCTACTCAAACTCCTCATGGGATCCGTGTGTGGGTCAATCCGTTTAACTATGCTATGGCTCTTCTTAGTCTTAGTGTCTCCTGTGTAACAAAATCTTGGTTCTTCAGGCCGGCCGCAGGTTCGGGCAATGGACACATGCCCACAGTAAATTCCAACCCCGAATCTTCTTTGATGTATACATGGTCGTCTATAGTCTAGAGCATTCCGTTACCTATCGGGCATCCATTTCAGCGATCTATCAAGAATGCCATGAGTGACATCCTAGAGAGACACAGTCGTGCCTGCTTTGGTCCCGTGGGGACCTGGGTGGCCGCTATTTCTTACTTGCGGGTCGAAGTGAAAGAACGCTATCCATGCAAGATGCTCGATGTGCGCCTTTACGCCCAGCTTTGATGAATCGCTCATGACGTGAAGCTGAGCCCTAACATCTCTGAAGCCCTAAACCCTGAGGCCATGAACCCCTAAACCCCAAACCTCACCGCCGCCAGCCCGATACTTGTCCTTGCATGATACTTACACCAAAGATCTCCTGTAAGATTTTATGACTCAGGGGTGTGTGTGTGTGCGTGTGTTTAAAGATCAGGGGTTGGGATTAGGGTCTGTGTTTAAAGATCTACCGATTCTACCTGCTCAGGTCACCCCCCCTGCCTTGGGGCTTGGAAATCGGGGCGACATGTGGGAATTTCTGGCATTCTTCAAAAACAGGAGCTAAAAAGCTCGGAAACCGCGGCACGGGCAAAGGAGTCCTGTGATGTAGAAGACCCGATGCTATATGCCGCCAGGTAGCTTCCGGTGGCTTCGCCGCCTCTGCCGGCTTCGCTGCCTCCGGCGTCGCGGCCTCGGGCTGCGCCACCTCCTGCGGCGTCGCGGCCTGGGGCGCAGTTTTCGTAGGGTTTGGGATTAAAGGCTTTCTTTGATAGGCTTTGCGGGCTCAGGGTGCAGGATGAAGGTTCAAGTGAAGTTCAAGGTACTCGAAAGCCACTGGGGCATTGATCCACAAGGCGCACCAAGAATCCAGACAAGGGAGATACTGAGGAAGCTTCGCCGCGAAGAAACATGCTGTTCTCGAGACATGATGTAGATTCAAGACAACGCTTGATCCAGATCCAAAAACACCACTGGCAGCGAGGTTACAGTTTGTTAGTTTATGTCAAACCCCCTGTGTGTGTGTGTGTGTATATGTATATATATATATATATATCTTGCTTGCTTGCTGGGCGTATGGGGCCAAGGGTTACCCCCTGAAATAAATAAATAAATAAATAAATTATTTAAAAATATGTATATATATATATCTCTCTCTCTCTCTCTCTCTCACTTTGACACTCGCTTTTCGAAGGACTGCACCACGGGATCGGATGGAGGCCATCCTGGGCTCTGGGTTTGCGGGTTTTTCGGGGCTCCTTGTGGCCAAAATATGCATTCCTTATGTTTGCTTCTCATCTCTTGGCTACCCATAGGCTCCATAGTAGTTCCTTTTTGGGATTACCTTATAGGATCCTAAATATAAACCACAAAAGGAACTACTATGGAGCCTATGGGTAATAACAACAGCCCCAGCGGCGGCTGAAGAAGCCTCTGCTACGGCAGTCGCATCGATAGGGTCCGAGATGTCCTGGCCTCCCTGTTGCTGGTTTCCTGGCCGGATGGTTGTTGAGATTTGGGGGTCGACAGTTCAAGGTGCTTGGCCCGATGTGATGTTTTAATTTGGTGGACCTTAGGGCTTTGGAGTCAACCCGGCGGCAACAGACCCTGCAGAATACCCATCATCTTGTTCTTAATCCCCACCATCACCATCCCCCTCTTGCTCCCCAGCGGCATCCCTGTCGTCGTTGTACTCATGCTTTTCACTTGCCCTCAACAGTGCATGATCATCTCCACCGAAAGAAATACGGAAATCCCACCCGCACGTGCTAAACTCATGTGAAGTAGGACCTCAGCGAGCGAAGGAAACCTTGCCTCGGTCCCTCGGAAAACATCCTGTAGAATCCGAAAGTTGCGGAACCCTCCGAAATCCGAACCCCCCCGCCCCATTTTGACTCTTTCAAAACCGCTTGAAACCCTGGAGAACCCCGATTAGAACATGTTAACACTAAAACGACGACCCTACAAGCCTATAAGCCCCAATCTGTCCATATGCCTTCTGGTGTGCGGACCGCAGTGGGCTGCACGACGACCCGCGGCGTCCCCGGACTCGAATTCGTGCGGGGCGACATGCGAACCTAGGAATCCAGGGCTTAAATGTGACTTACGGTGCTTAGGGCCTTATCGGGGATATAGCGGTTTATGGATTGTATACAGCATCCTTGGGTGCTAGAGGGGTTTAGGCTTTCGGTTTATCTGGGTTGTAGTTTCAAAGCACCAAGCGTATTGGAAAGCTTGCCAGGTCTGCTTCTCATGCCGAAACATGGGCCTTCTTAGGCTTTCTCAGTGCTCCGGTTCCTGAAGCTGACAGCTCAACTTGATCCCTGCAAGGCGGACCTTGACGTGTAGTAGGTGGCTGGTTTTCAGGATAAACAAGTAAAGGCCACGGGGGCCAACCCTAAAACCCCTGAGCACGGAAAGCCCTAAACCCCACAAACCCTGAAAGCCCCAAATCCCTAACACCCATCAGCCCGCATGAAGACCCCTTTTTTGAGGAGGGGCTGCAGAAGACCCGAAACCCTCCCGTGCACACGTCCTACTAGCCACACTAGAAAGCAATAGCAATCACAGTACCCATAAGGTTTAGTATTTTAGGGTCTGGGAATAACCCAATGGCGACCGTAGAAAGAAGAAGAATCATCTGGCCACCTGCACCGGCTGACCGCTCGCCGTCTTGGCCGTGGCGACAATGACAGGGGCCTTTCGCCGGCTCTCGTGCGCGCGCCTGGTCTCAAAGGCCCAGCAAAGCTCGAAGCCCGAAACCCCACAGCCTTCACCCCTCAGTCAGAAATCTCTGAAGACTCTAAACCCTAGCTCAACACTTACCCCATTGAACTTTTGGGCTTAAGGTACCTAAAACCTAGTGCCTGTCTGAAATGAATCAACCCAGAGCCCACATCCTGAACCGCGGTCCGTCTCCAGCGAAACTAAACCAAAACCCCTCCAGCCCGTTCAACCCTAGTCCACCCAAAAGCAACACCTTCAAGCCTTAAAGGCCACAAACTCAACAACCCAAACCTTAAGCCCCAAAGCTCCAATCGCTCAACTCTCAAATCCAAGAGCTCTCAGTGTCCAGGAGGCGATCGACCTTGGAAACCTCTTGTCTTAAAGGGACATCTGTGAGAGTATCGGATTCAAGGAGTCGTATGGGGGCTTAGGGATTTAGGGTTCCGGGAGCGTTTCGGTGCTGGGGTTTGAACTCAGGGTGGGGGCTTGCCGGCGCTGGAGTGTTGCGCCGGCCTTAATTAATTACACAGCGTCAAAGTGTTGACGGCTTCATTGAAGAGTTTGGCGCCTAGGGAAATGCGGGAGTATGAGGCTAAGGGTGTCAAAGGGGAGGGGGGGGACCCCAAACCACTGGCATGCTCTTGAAGACCAGGTGCAGATTCTGCGGGACAGGTTCTGCACGGGAGACGGCAAACTCACGACGCTCCACATCCTGAGATCTTCTTCAGAAAAACTTGACCAGGGCTAGGATGAAGGTGATGAGGGTAGATAGGTAGGTAGGTAGGTAGGTAGGTAGGTAGGTAGGTAGGTAGCAGTAGGTAGCTAGGTAGCAGTAGGTAGCTAGGTAGGTAGGTGGCTAGCTAGGTAGGTAGGTCGGTAGGTAGGTAGGTAGCTAGGTAGCTAGCTAGGTAGGTAGGTAGGTAGGCAGGCAGGCAGGCAGGTAGGTAGGTTTGCATACAGATGTGTATGATGATATGTGTATATATATATATACACATGCATATAGATATGCTAGTATGGACATTATAGCTGATATGGTTTCCCTGCTATGGCAGCTGACTGAAGAACAAGTTCCTTAACAAGCACCCAGCATCGTCAGAGAAGCGGATGGAGCTACGCCGAGTACTGTCGCCGATGGCCTCTGCAGCCGAAGCTTAGCTTCTGGTCTTCTACGAGTAGCTTCTTAGTTGCCCGTTTCATATGCAAAAAAGGAGCTGTTTCATTCTCAAAAGGGTATCCCCCCAAGCATGAGCGGTTACAAGCTCAGCTACTACGGCTTTACAGGCACCTGGATTCTCTGGAATTGAAGGCATGACAAGACGGGGTGTAGCATTTTGGCTCGGAAGGACGTCTTGCAAGAGTAAACCCTACAAAGCAAGGACGTCGCGTCCTGGGAAGCTTTCCTGCAAGCTTTAAGCAGGTCTTGAGATACGGACCAGGAACCCTTAAACAGTTGAGTGAAACACATTCCTGAAACTAAATAAGCTCTACAACCCTGGAGCGGATGTCAAGACAACGTTGTTTCTCAAAGGCTCACCGTCCCCAATGACTAGAACAGGAACTGAACGAAGGGAAAGGCGATGTGTATACAAACAACAAACCTATGAACACAATAAGCCAATAAACATATATATATATACACATGTTTACATACACATGTATCAAGACATACAGGTCTGCATCTGTATTTACATATATATATATACATATGTATGTGTATGTGTGTATGTATATATATGTATATATGTCTACACATGTTCGTGTGAGTATGTATGCATGCATGCATGCATGCATGTATGTGTGTGCATGTAAGTATGTATTGTAAGTATGTATTTACCGGTGCGTGCATGCGAATACTGATTGTTAAACAACCTAAGCAGAGGCCGACATTGCAGCCTTGACTGAGCCTTAAACCGTACGTGAAAGCTCTCGGAGAGCCCTCAACGTCTGCTTCAATCACCTAAAAACAACTAGAAGCACTGTAGCTTGGGATAAATCACCCCTTGGGTGGACACTCAGGGGAACCATTAAACAACATCATTTACAGAGCCCCTTTCGACCTCTGTGGGGTCCGAGGGCATCCGCCGCGGGATTCGGATGGCCGGCACCGGCGCATTGGTGGTGGTCGATGGCTTTGACTTCAAGATTGGCTTCCTTGGACGGGTTTAGGCGGTTTAAGGGGTTTCGGGGTTTAGGGGCGTTCAACTGTCGTGGGGGTTCAGGGGGCTGGACTTGAAGATCTGCTACCTTTGGGCTTTAAGTTGTGCTTTTGCATGAACGGACTCATTCGGCTCGGCTCCCTGTATGAAAGTGTATGTATGTCTGCATGCATTAAACTTATGCATGTATAAACAGGTGTATACAAATATACATACATGCATATGTTCCTATATGTAAACATGTGTGTAAGCATATGCACATACGTATATGCAATATAAGTTTACATGTATATGTGTATATATGTACAGATGTATGCATGTAGATCTGTATGTGTATGTGTATATATATATATACACAGAAAGATGGACATGTATGTGTGTTCAAGCTGTTCGACATTGAGCGAGATTCGCTACAAAAGACTTTTGCAGTTTCCCGTATCGCTGGCCCTGACAAAAGTCGTTTCTCAAGAGTCCGAGCCTCACATTCCTTAAGCTTTACGAGCTTTCACGAGGATCCCTCAACCCTTTTTAAGCACGGACTGGGGTGCCGTAAACCCTACACGGAAAAGGGTTGTTGGGGAACCTTCTTCTTCGTAGCCGTAAGGCTAGTCTGATTGGGTGCCAAAAACCACCTAAGCATAAATAAAGGATTTAAAAGCTATCCGTTCTTTGGATGACCACTTACAATTAAGTTGCCTTTTCGATCTCTGAATTTTAAGGCCCAGAGAGTTCCGCAGTTACGGGTCTGTTGGATTTGGGGCTGAACTGTCTACGTTCTACAGGGCTTTTGAGGTCAAACTATCTTCTTGGGCTGTGCTGCGCAAGCATCCAAGTATGTCTGTAACATAACGTCATCGGAATCCCCTTTTTTGTGAAGTACCGAAAAGCAGGCATCAATTGTATACTAAAGACTCGGAAAGGGAGCACGACAAACATACTGTAATATATACGTACTTAGACCCTGGCAACGAAGAAGGGGTGCTTGGACTTGGTCTTACTTCAAAGGCGATTCAAAGGCCCTATACGGGAAGTGTAAGGAACGCGCGGCCTATCTTATATCCTTATTGTAGGTTTTAGAGGTACCTTTTCTTTATCCCTCGACTGCTGAACCTTTCTTTTTCATGCCACACTAGAAGCCCTGGCTCTCGAATCCGAAGGGACCGAGTTTTTTGCGGCCTGAAGTAGGAAGCTGAAGGCATCTCTCCGTGGTACGAAGGGGGTTGAAAAGTCAGAAGAAGGTTCAATGTCATTCAGGATCCCGTTTTAATCTTAAGGCCCGCAAACTGAGGGGTAAGTTATGGCATCTTGTTAGCATGGCAGTGGGTCAAACGGTCCAATATTCGGGGACAACGAACTACTTAGAAGTTGCAGCAGCATCTGCTCCCGCCGCAAACCACGACGAGCTTCAAAAGGACCTTGAACCTCCCCTGCCTTTAAACCATCACGAGGCATCCTACGGTACTTCAAAAGGGAATAAAACACCTATAAGGCCTTGCCCAACAAAGACGAACACCATATTATTACCCCTAACCAAAAAAACCTAACCTGACCAGGCATCAGCACGCCAGCGGAGTCGGCCTCCTTGTGGCTTGGTTTGGGACCTGGCATTGGGATGTCCGTCGGGCCGATTTCGTCCACCACCTAGCTGCGGAAGTGTAGGGCCTTTGGGTTTCTAGGGTGTGTGTGTGTATACATATACATGCATACATAAATGAATCTATACATTTTTATGTGTGTGTATATATATATATGTATAGATATACTTTTGGAAAGCTTTGGATAAGGGATTCAGATTGCAGAAAGGAACTGTGTGGGACCCCTGTTTTTCACGCACAAAGTTTTGCGATGCTTTGTGGATTGTCACTTAGAGTGTCCGTTTTGGCACTCAGTCCGAACAAAAGACGGTTTAACAGTTTAACATGTAAACGCAAGTGGGTAGTCATATATTCTCATAAAATGTAGTTGTAAAATATTATCCATGGATTTGGGGTTTGGCCATGGTCACGACGTCCACGACTTCTTGCGTGGCGCGATTCGGCATTTAATCGCGAACTACGGCGTGAGATGTTCAGGGTTTCGGGGCTCCAAGGTTGCGTGCTCTGCAGGAACACTCGGACTCCACCAAATACTGTTCTTTCTTCGGTGAAAGCAGGGGTTCAAGTAGAATTCTGGTAGCGGATCTCGGGCGCCTCCACACATCCCCTTACTCCAAGCCTGTGCGTGAAGGACAGGGAGGGAGGCATTCTTCAGGGCTTTTCCTGTCGTACAAAAACAACAGAAACTTGGTCCAAAGCTTTGCAGCTGCAGGTGGCCACATAGTCTGGGGCCTAGGGGCCTTGAAACAGCATCTTTAGAGTTTGAGATGCCTTGTTTACTATAGCTGCAGCTTTGAAAAAGTAAGGGAACAACAAGGAAGCACAAGTACCACAAACTTCAAGCCCCCCAAAAATGCCTGCCCCACTCTCAGCCCATAGTCTTCCAAGTAAAAACTCAGGGAATCTCCTGGCACTCTATGAATCACTACAGCAAAGATGCCCAACACTATAACATGGATCCTATAAATTTAGACTTCTTAGACCCAAGGACCCTATACACCCTTAAAACCATCTAAAATCGAACCTAAAGCCGCATACACGGAAAGCTGCTGGCGGCCTGCGTGCCCCCAAGTCCTTCGGCACGTGGGGACAGGATCTTTCCAACAGCTGGTGGCGGCCCCTTTCGGCGATCGGGGTCTGAGAAGTGGCCAAGAAGGTTGAACCACTCCTCGGCTGCACAAAAGGGCCTTGGATTTTTGTCGTTCAAAATCTCAGCATCGACAATTCAGTCACAGCAAAGAAACAACTGCTATTACTGAAAAATACTGCGAACTCGGTATGCATGTATGCATGTAGGTAGGTATGTATGTATGCAACAAGATGATGATCGGAATAGTCACGGGTTGAGAGCATCTTCACAACATATGCGACGTACACAAAGCTTGGCCTATGGCCCTGAGTGGTATCTTGAAAGGGTCCCACGACTCCTCCGAATGCACCGTAATATTCTCAAATTCATTTTGTCGGGCGTGTGTTTGACAGAGGCACATAGAGTACATTCTAACTCGGAAATTCAAGAATGGAAACCCCAAACCCTGAAGGGGATCTTACATTCTGTAAAGCCTCAACATCAACGCTGCCATAGACTTGCACGGGGCGCCTAGTAATCACAGGGTCTGGTTTTGTCCAGCACGTGAAGGTTGAATATGGCTAGCTGGGGGCTGTCCACAGCAAGGTCACCTACAAGGCAGCTAGTCTGACAATGAAGCAATAATAACATTCACTCAGCTTGCACCCAAGTCTATTTCGGATACTTCTCACAGCCATTATTTCCCAAAACTCTTCATTTTTAAAGCATTCTACAGGGGCCGGAAGTGAACTGCTTCTCAGGGTCATCCCGCTGCTCTTCCGAACCGGCCGCCAGGAACAGGCTGGAGCCCTGACAACAGCGGCGTCCAGGACAACAAACACCGAAAAACAAAACCAATATAGTGGCCTTGATCATTCGAATTGAGTTTTGGGGGTAGATTATACTATGACTATACTCAGGGACCCCCAAGACAGTATTGGTAATAATTTGTAGACCGCTATAGCAGGGTTCATTCTTAAGGGTTTAAGGATGCTGAAGACTAAGATGCAAGCCTAAGGCTCCATCTATGCACGCAAATACCTGGGGTTTAGGGTTTAGGGCCGTTTAGGGGTTTAGGGGTTTAGGGTTTAGGGTTTTTGGGCTCTAAGCCAACCAACCCAAGGTGCCAGCTAAGGAGCCTCAGGCGGCAACAGGGTTCAGGCCTATTTTGGGGGTTGTTCCATCTTTACCCATAGGCTCCTCAGTAGCTCCTTTTTGTGGTTCACATTTAGAATCCTATAAGGTAATCCCCCAAAAAAAGGAGCTACTAAGGAGCCTATGGTTAGGAGCTCTGAGTCCAGGACTTGGGGGAATTGGGGCAAGGGCGGGATTCAAGGACCTGTTTAGAGCAAAATCTCGCAACTAAATTCCAGCGACCCCTGAAATCCAAAAAGGGGGCTCCTGGACCCTACAAAGCACCGTGAATGCCAAGATTTTACAGGGCGTTTTGACAGTAGATCCCTGATCAGTAAACACCCTTGAGGGTCTAGTCTTCGGATCCCTGTGACTGTACTAATCCTTGCTCTTTACCCAAGGCTCTACATTACTTAAGATTCTCTGAGAAGATGGACCCGAAGCAATAGGATCCTTCATACTATTCTAGGAAACCCTGAGCACTGTAAGGTATCCCTAGACAACGCTCTGCCTGCAGCGAAACTTTAAGCTGTTGCAGCCTCGATACTGTTAACGCTGTTCCAGAGCCTATCATGATGGAGTTACACCCGCACTAATAACAAAAGGCCGACGTGTAAGGAAGAAAGCCATGACATGCAAGATCTCGAGATCCTGACACCCCACATCCCGCATCCCAATCCTCGAACCCCCAGACCCTAGAGCCTGACCCCCGCCCCCCCGAACACCCATCCCGGACCTTGTTCTTCACCTGGAAGCCGAAGGGCCGGGCAGCCTCATCCTGAGTCTTACACTTATAGTAGTACATGGCATCATACTATGCTATGCTTGCATATATTTACAAGAGTCATACTGTGCTGCAGCATGCTGACCACACGGTCGGAAAAGCACATAGTTCACTGTGGGCTTGGCATGATTTTCTAGGGCAATGTGACCATGACCTGTAGTTTAACTGCTCTGATTGTAATGCACCTGCTGCACTTCTGCCTGCATACATTAAGTACTGAAGGCCGCTTCAGATCTGTGCGTGAAAGTGTTTTGAGGTCGTGAAACATGTAGAACAGCGAAATTAGGTTACCTGTGTCACCCGTTTGGGAGTTTCAGAAAAAAACGGCCCGTGGTGTGGACCAAAACATAACAGCATCATCCTTATCACAAAGATGCAAACATGAGCCGGGGTTCAAGGTCTCGAACAACAGATTTGGGACTTTGCGTATTTGTGTCTGAACACGCTGGGGTGGCAGGGGTATAGCTCAAGAGTTTAAGGTTTCGTTTATGCGTCGCACGTCTTGGGTTGCTGATCGATACCGAGAAAGAATAGAGTCGGATGTAAACGCACTCTTCCTTGTCAGGACAAGCAGATCAAGGTTTGCCTGCATAAAATTATGAGGGAGGGTTTACTTGCACTTGTTCGGGCTGCATGGCTGCACAAACGCCTGACACTGAATGCGTAAGATGGGGTCTTCGAGGTAATCGACTACAAGCACATACAATTTCGAACAAAACCTGCGCGCCCTACGCATAAAGCAGTACTATTCCTATCAAGTGGCATGTTACTTAGAGCCCTGCCAGTAATGTTGTGATTAACATGATGATGATGGTGATGATGATGATGATGACGATTAATATTATGACTATTATTATTATGTGTTTTTATGATTTTCTTGATACTTAGTAGTATAGTGGCAATAGTCAGAGGAGGAGAGGAGGAGGAAGAAGAGCAGGAGGAGCAACGTGCCAAGTGTCCTCCGAAAGCTCACCATAGGAGCTTCCCACGTCCACAGGAAAACTCGTCGGCGCCTTGTTGTCGGGCGCCCGGTACATCCTTACACGCCGGGGTAGTTCTCTAAACTAGGGTCCCTTTTTAGGTCCCCAGTATAGTATGCCTACAAAGGGACCGCAGAAAAAACAGAATTACCCAAGTCGGGGTAGTTCACAGCTACAGTAAACGGCCATAGGACCTACCTGCTTGCGGCTGAACCGTCTTGAGGTGTTGCTCGTCAAGTCCCAAAGTTGGAGACAGTCAGGATTAATCACTTTGGCATTCCCTGCAGTTTCAATTTGGGACATGGGGAAATGAGTTTTCAACCTTATGTTATCGTACCAATTGCGAAATATTGCGCGTTAAAGTTTTTTTGGGATGTTGTTTTGGCGGTGATGACAATGTTGAGATTATTTCCGCTTATTCATGGCTATTGCCGTGGTTCTCGTGGTGATGATAATATGGACCATCAGTGCGCATGTTTATGGCTATTGCCACTGTATAAGGGGCCAGATGAGCGGCAACTTGCTGCCATCCTGCTGGACTGTGGCTGGAGCTGTGCTGACGCAGAGTGTGCCTCTGCCTGAGATGCCGCTGTTCAGCTTTGGGGGTTTGAGGGTTTAGGAGGCTACACAACTTGTCGGCTTTCTGGCTGTTTGGAGTCTTAAAGGCACTAGGGCTTGGAGCTATGAAAAACAAAGAACGTAAAGCAGCAATGGTTTAAACCTGAACGTTCCATGCGTGAAGCAACGCAAGCCCCACCAAAGTCGCGAACGGCAACACAGACAGCACAAACCCTGAAAGCACCATGCATCCGTTTTCCAGGTTCCAGGTTTCCATGTAATCATCACCTTTTTGCAATCTACCACATCTCCATTCTTTAGTTAGAATCCTCTCAAGAACTCTAAAACCCTACAGCTTTTAAGAACCACTTGGTAACGGCTTTGCAAGTTGCTCGTCAGCCAACAGCGCCGCAATCTCCAGTGTTCTGCACCTCAGAGGTACTGGGCTGTTCTTGAAAGCCCTTCGCACCATTGCCATTTCGGTTCCTTTTGAGGGCCATCTACTCTCCCGCATGGCTTAGTTAATTCTGTCGACCGCATGCCCTACTAAAAAATACAGGCTTGCTTGTGAGTTTGAGGTTCAAACAGTGTCCCACCGGTTCAAGGTTTAGGGCTTGGGGTTAGGTTGCACTAAGCCCGACTAAGCCCTACATCGGCGAGCCGAACCCACCTAACCTAGAAAACTTAGTGCTCAGCTGTGGGGCACGGGTTTGGGGGCCCTACTGCGCCTCTGGCTCTCAGCTCCTTTCGCCTGCACTGGCCGTCTGTTGGGCCGCAGGTCGCGGTTTCATGCTAGGGTTCGAGGTTGAGAGTTTAGGGTAGTTTAAGATCCTCGCACAAGGAGGATCCAAGTCTCTAAGGGACAAAGCTGCATTGCTACTGCTACTATCCCAAACCCAAAGCCCCAAAGTCTCTCTGGTGCCGTTTATTTGCCCTTAGACTCAAAGCAAGCCGAAGCTTCAGCCTCGTCCAACCTATCCCAAGATGTTCGGCGCTCCCCAAAAAAGCCAGGCGAGGTTGTTTTCATTGGTGCGGAATCGATCTTCGAGTTTGGGGTTCCAGGGTTCGCAAGCCTGCTGTCGAGGCGCATGCATCGAAATCAACAGAGAGGCGTTCAAACGCAACAGTGTTTCGTGGCTACGTGTAAATGTGTGGTATTATTTGGTCATAAGTGTCCATGCTCTCCTGCAAAGGGTTCAGTAGATCTGGTGCGTAGACTTGCGAACATCCAAAACCACACTGAAACTTTCAGCCCGGGCCCACTACCATCTCAATCCCTCTCAAGCCCGAAACCGTCAAAAACAAAACCTTAACGCGAGCCCTAAGTCTCGAACCCTGGACACCTCGTCTTTCCCGACATCCAAGGCCGCCAATTGTTTTGCCCTGAGGTCCCCGCACTGTGGATCTCCACCCGGGAGTAGTACCCACCTTTCTGCATCAGTGGATTTGCGGTTTGGGTCAGCTGCGGCATCAAAGCGGAAAAGCTTGACCGGGGGCTGATAAAATGAGAGGGTCTGGAGTTCAGACGTCTCGGGTTTGAGGCTTGAGGCTTCCACTCCTCTCAGGTTTTCCAAGGGTGCCACGGCTTCTGTTGCATCTTCGTCGCAAGTGCCGAAATTCCATCTTCCAGGTACAGGTGCCATTACAGGATGATGTGCTCCCGAAGCAAGCCGCAGGGGGCAGAAGGCACCCAAATGGCGGCCCAAAACCCTTTTTCCCAAAACCCTTAGAGTTTAGGGTTTTGTTTTTCCCACCCGCTTCGCTGACTAGGTCGCACTGCAGGGAAACTACTCACCAAGACGACTGTAGGGGGCGCAAGTTTAGGGTTTGGGGCTTCGTCGGGTTGATCCACAGCTTTGATCCCGAGGGCTTCCAAAAATCCTTTCCCCCAAACCACAAGAAGCAGCATCTCAATTTGAGGCTTGCCCTTTCTGAGGACCTTTACAAAACAAATCGCACCATGCAGTGTTCTATTACCCTAGGCTTCCAAGGACCTTATAGTTAGGGCCCTGGACCCTTTCAGGACCCAATAATAAGGTCCCTGGAAGCATAGGGTCATTAGAGCCCCGGCATTCTGAAACTCTCTGGATGGGACTCCGGAAGCCAAGATGCAACGCGCCACTGCCCAGTTGGCCGCTCTCCGGCGGAGGTGGGGCGGGACGGTTGGACCTAGGAGCTTGCTTTGAAAGGCTCGGGCTAGAGGACTTTTGGTTTTCAAAGTCTAGGAACAATGAATGCGGGAGGCTTTTCAACATCAGGACAGTCATGGGGCTTATAATAGCACTACGGAAACTAGATAGGCCGCGGTGTATGCTTCCGTTCACTTTTGAAGCACCCGAGCCTTCTGTTGTGTATGCGGTCGAGGGGTGTAAGGTGAAACGTCAAGGCACGACTGGTCAGCCAAAGGTTCTCATTCTCTGTAGCCTGTTTGATGCTGTCACCTGCATAGATGTCCGAACCTACGCCCCTAAAAGCCAAAGCAGCCCCTCCTTCAGCCAATCCGCCAATCCCGGACGCTCCATCCACAGCCGTTATGGAGTCATGAAATCTCTTTTCCCTGGAGGGAACCCTGTATAATTTGGGGCTCAGGGGATTAGGATTGGGGGCTTAAAGGCCCCACAGTCTTGAAAAGCCACCCTAAACCTCAACCCTCGCATCGCAGACTGTCAGGGTGAGAGCCAGCGGCCTAGCACAAAGGGGCTTGTGACTTAGGGTGGAAAGGTGGCTTAACATGGAGGCCCTAATACTTAGAACAAAGGCTTATATAATAGGAACTACAGGGTAAGTATAGTAAGTAACCCTAAAGAACTTTTCTGCCTCCTGCAAACAAATACAAACCTTCGTTCCAAGCATTTGCAAGGGCTCCAAGTAACCCCAAAGAGTAGCTGAGTAGCTTCACCAAGTCTTCCGGCTGGCTATTTTAGGTCGCCCCCCCTTCTACCTCAACCTGGCCCCTGGCGCGACATGGTTCGTCATGAACTCGTAAGGGTCATCCGGTAACAGCGCACAGACCACGCTTAGCATCTCCTGCAGGGTAGACGAACATGACTGCATGCCTACGATATGGCTCTTCCCCAAAAAGATATGGTTTAGGGCAAGGATTTGGGCCTTAGGTTTAGGGTATGGGGATTTTAAAAGACCCGCGGTCCCATTTGTGGGGGTTGAGTTGAAGATGAGAGTCCTGATCAGTGGTTGGCAACTCGCATGCTGGTCACCTGAAAACAATCTGTCTTCGTCCGTTCAGCCGTTAGACATTCCCCTACTTTGTTCTGTCAGCCCCCCTTTTTGGGGGGCCGAAGTTGCTTGAAAGGCGCTTCTGGCCAGAAGGATGCCAAGGAGCCCCCAAATGTCCAAGCGACTCCGCCAAGCTGCAAAAGCTCCTCCTAACCGCAAATACCCAGAATTCGCACCCCGTTCCATCTCCGTTTTCACCGCAAAAAAGGCGACAAGACAAGGCGCAGCAAAAAGCACTGCTCAATCCCAGAAGGGATCGGAGGGGCGAGGGTGTGTCGGTTTTGAGGTAATAACTATACTGGAATGGGCATTCTTCTGATGGCTGACCTGTCCATGAGTCTCGAAGCTGCGACGAAGCATGAGCAACTGCTCTGGTTTTCAAGCTCTAGAGGTCTAGGCCCTTTTGCAAAAGACCCAATTGCCGTCTCCTGCATGAAAAGCTCTATCTGGTGATTGTCCTTGCAGGACATGCCCGGAGGAGGTTTCATGGCTCGGGGGTGCGAGATCTTAACCTTGCAGTCTCAATGCCGAGTTCCCAGTATTCTCATGGGGGTCAAAAGCCTGGAGGCCGCGGGGGTCCCCAAAGTCTCTGAGCTCTAAACCCGCTTTCGCCTAGGCGACGGCGGCGTGCTGAAACGACCCTCAGACGGGAAGCCCAAAGCCATGCAGTGAAGTCGGTGAAGCCCTAAAGCCCAAACAGTCCGTCACCTCACGCCATACATATACATACATACATGCATGCATACATACATACATGCATACGTACATACATACATACATACATACATACCTACATACCTACATACCTACATACCTACATACGTACGTACATACGTACATACGTACATACGGACATACGTACATACATACATACATATACACACACACAGAGATATATATATATATACATATGTATGTATATATATATATATACACATGCATACATACATATTCATATCAAGATACACGAATTAGAACAAGGTTTTGGGGTAACGCTGTATAGCAAGATTGTATTTTGTTTAAGACTAAGCCCTCAGATCTCTCGGGAATTGTATTGGTAATTGTTAAGGCTTCGATATTGGCTGAAAAAGGGGACAGGTGCAGTTTGGCTGTTGGGCTCCACTATTTTTCCCTCTCGCATAGCTGAGACCTATGCCCACAAGCGAGGTTTGCTCGGGTGAACTAACCATGCAGAGCTTGCAAAGCAACATCCCACCTCTTCACCTAGCCCTAAGTTGGCAATTGACCCAGAATCGAGTTTTCGGGATTCCCACAAAGCAAGCTTATAAGACACCAAGCAAATTCAATCTCAGACGTATTATAAGGTTTAGTCAAAGTAACCAGACGTCCAAGACAGATTCCAACAAGGTCGAGGGTTCGGGGTTCGCGGTCTGATAGAGAGAGTCTTGGCCGGAAAAGACAGGACAGGACTCCTTCGATTGAGGCAACTTCAGATTCCGGTAGAGATCCCTGCCCCCACGGAGCCTTCGGACAAAGAACCCCGAACCCTACCCTACACCCAAAAGCCGACAGCCGGACTCGGAAATCCTAGATCGCATACACCCAAACCGCATCCCGAAGCCTTGGATAGCCCCAGAACGGTGCCCTGCCTGATAGCCCTGCAATGTCTGCGCTGCGCTTCGAGGCCTTCAATGCAACCAAAGAAGCAGTCTCAAGCAGTATGTCGTCGCTGATCAGGAACTGCGTTGAAGGCTTTAGGGAACGGGGCATGCGGTATATAGGGCCCTCACCATCATTCGTGCATAGTTTTACCCCTACTACGACACCCATTTGTCACAGCTGAGAATTCTTCGAGCATTCATGAAAAGACGCTCTCATGTCATGTCAAAACCCCTAGACCCTAAAACCTAAAACCCTGAAACCCTAAACCCTAAAAGCCTAAACCCGAAGGTTTGACAAAAATTCCCTGTATCGAAGATGCGCAGGAACTGAGGCAAAGCTCTACATTTTCGGGGTGTCTTCAATCAATCAAAATAAATATATGTGTATGTATATATATATATATGTAGACACATATATACATATCTCTCTCTCTATCTATCTATGCATCCTTTCAGATCTTGACATGGCAACAACTTAGAAGACTACTGTACATCCTGGGGGGTTATATCCCTCTGTCACGGCGTCGTGAATCTGATATGTCAAAACTGATTGCGGCCTATGGGCCTGCGAAAACAATTGCGATAATGAAACCGACAAAGATTGATACTCACAAAAAACAATGCAATAATAACAAGGAGAACCAGAGCCCAAACGAACCTAACAGTCACACAGGCCCACACGTCAGCTTGTCTGACATGTCGTTGCGTTCACCTCAGGGGCCGCTTGCGGCCAAGGGCAGCCGGCGTGCGTTAGGGTTTTGGGGTTCTTACTTCAAGAACTTGAGGCTTTGCGATGTTACGGGGGGCTTATAGGGCTTGTAGGGTCTGACCGGGGTTGTTAAGGGTGTCCTTAAGGTTGAGAACTTTAGCCAGATCTGGGTTTGGTAGGATACAACGTTTACAGGCTGCGGGGTTTACTGCAATGTCGGTCATTGTGTAACACCCCGCCTTCTCTACGCTTAAGATTATAGGATTCAGGGAGGGGGCTGTTGATTAATCGGGGTCTATACTAATTTAATTATGTGTCATTACAGGCTCTGGCTTGAAAGCTTTCGATCGTCTGCACAGTCTGCACTCAAGCTAAACCCCTAGAGCTTCTGTCCCTGGCGGGGTTGAAATGCTTCGATGGGAGGAGGTAAAGTGTTCGTAGTTCGGTAGTTCGTAGAATCGTAAAGCCGCAGAGAAGTGCGAAAGCCAGGCACTTAGTAGACGCTTCAAGCCCCAGCCCACCCCGAGAAACCTACCCTGACCCTCTTCGGTATGTTGCTTTAGAAAGTAGAGCTAATTAGAACCTTTCCGAACCCAGATCTTATATAATTAAGGCACTTTGCCCCGAATCTTCGGGTCCTAAAGTGGCCTTTCAACGACTCCGCCAGGTTCCCCGAGTCCTTCTAGGTTTAGTTTGCATGAGTAGGGAAGTCTGGTCTAGTAGTATGGTTTAGAGGGTGTAGGGTTTAGGAGATCTACGTACTGGCTATAAATCCCGGCTCGTGCCAGCGCAGACGAAGTGCTAAGATCCAAAGCCATCGCTGCGAGCGACTCGGCACTCAAGCGGCGAAGGCTCCGACCTCCGCTCGGCCCAGGGCCCGTCAGTAAGTTAGCTACCCTAGGGATAGGGGCCTTCATAAGTGGAATAGGGTCTTGTTGGGGTATGCGATACTATAATTCAGATAAGGAACCCAGATAGTATAGGTAATTATATGAAGGCCCCAACATTAGTTCAGCGAAGGGGTGGTTCTCTGCGTTGGGTGCGGATGAACAGAGCCGCCAGACACCCCCCTTGCGGAGCTTAAAGTCAAGGGTCTTAGGGATCAGAGTGTTGCGTGGCCGAACTATGTCGTGCGGCTTCGGAGCTTTACAGTACTAGGGCCACTAGGGCATATGCGACGTGAAGGCTTCCGCATTCTGGTTTCGTGCGTTGGAAAAAACTAGAGAGCGAACCCTTGTTACTATGCTCTGCCAAATTCTTGACTGTACCTCATTTGTTTGTTGAGTCTGGCTTAGGCAGCGGAGCAATAGGGGCATGTATAGAGTGCAGGTCTTACAACTTTGACGGTGTCTCTCAAAAGGAGTGTCGGGGGGCATCTGTCGGGGGGGGGGGGGGGTNNACTGTCAGGGGGAGTGATTCCTTAAGGGTTTAGGCGTTAGGGCGTGCGGCGTTGGGGTCTCAGAAGCCCCTTAAGGGCCGGATGTCAGGTTCCTGTGCACTGTGGGGCTGTAGACCCTCAGGCTACTTTTTGCAGCCTCTGCCACCGGATCAGGTGCTAAGATCCGAAGCACTGCGCGATTTAGGGTGCAGGGCTTGGGGATTGAAACGAAAGCCCCATACCGCCGACGTGAAAACACATCCATCCATCCATCCATCCATGGATCCGTGGGTTCATGCGCCATCTGTAGGCGTTGTCGTTATGTGATGTGTATGCAGTACTTAACCAAGGGGCAGTGCTGGGGGGCCTTAAGTGGCCTTTTCTTAGGGTTTGTGTCGGGATGCCGGCACTACATCCGAAGCCCCGAAACTCTCCGACCCTGAACATCAGTGCACACTCGAGCCCCAGGCCCCCCCAAACCTAGAGACGTTAAGGGACAATGAAGCGTCAAGCGACTCCCTCCTCTCCTGAGATATCTTCTGAGCCCACGGCTCTACGACGTGTGACACGCGACCGTTTGATGCTTCAGGGTTTGCTTAGGATTAGAGCCGTACCAATGCCAAGATACTTTATGCTTAAGCTTCAGGTCCCGAAAACCGTAAGTACCTGCGACGTCTGTCAGGATCGGGTGGGCTTGCGACGTGAGATGGGATTTCTCAGCGCTCTCCTTATATAACTGCTGTTGGGGGTTGAATCTGAAGAAGCTGCGATGCGACACAAGACACACTTGACATACTATCTTATGCTTACATGAAACAAACACATCCCCAAGCGCTTGAGCCAGGACCAGTCCGATCATCCAGAGAATTTCCTCAGGACGGGTTGATAACAGTATTAGGGCGGCCTCAATACTTAGACCTTAGCTAAGGACAAGCAGAGGACATCAGGGTTTAGGGTTTAGGGGCTGAGCCGTTAAGAAGGAGCAAATGTAAAAACTGGGATAACCATTTTCCTGTTGTTCCATTTTCACCGAGAGATCCAAAACATGTGTACCGGGCGTTGATGATCGAGCTAGTGGTGAGGGCGAGCAGTGATGCTGATCGTCATGGTCACGAAGACAAAGGAAGCCACGGTGCCTTCGATAGTGACGACGACTATGGCGACAACGAAAGATGACGATGACACGACGACGACAATGACGACGACAGCAGCTTCAACGACGACCACGACAAGGAGGAGGACGACGCCGAGCACCACTTCTGACGAAGAATACGACGTCCACGACAAGCACCACGACCATACGAGGACATGACGATCATGAAGAAGAAGATGCTGATTCTCAGGAGGCCGATGCTGACATTGCTGTTGTGATACCGATGAGGATGAGGAAGATGAGGCGGAAGAATATGATGACCATGACGTCCGATGTGCGTCCCTCCATGCCCTCCCCTCACCGGGCGCCATAAACATAGACCAGACGTTGCCCACCCTAGATTGGACCCAGAACCTCAACTACATTAAGAGATCGGGAATTGAAGCCGGTGCATGTGCAGAATCGGAACATTGAAATGCTCAAACCTACGGTAGGCTTTGCCTGTGTGTGGCGCCTGCGAGTGTATCTGCAAAGCTCTCTAGCCTCTATCGCCCTCGTCCGCAAATCAGCGGGAGAGAACCCTGTCCAGGAGTTCAGCTCTCCTTACAACAAGGAATATGAAAGGTGAACGAATGTCTCCGAAGTGCACGCAACCCCGCAACTCAAGCCGAAACTCTGGCTTTCAGCGAGCTCTCAACAAGCCTGAAGCTTCTACAGCGCCTGTACACTATATTATATTCATTGAGTGCAGAAGCCTGCTAGCTCGCAACCTTGCAACCCATATAGAAACTCTTGAACTTCCTACAAAATCTCGTGAATCGGCCTAATCGCCGGCCGAGTCCTTGGACCCAGCAGCCCCCAACACTCTCGCGCCAGCCCTCCAAGCTACGAGTACACCCTTGCTCGTTCCTTTCGCCCGGGCACTCGACGCAACTTTGGGTCGACTTCCAGCTCTTCCAAGCTGTAGGAGAAAGGCTGCAGTGCCGGTGGGTGCAGGCAGAAGTCTGGTAGGGCTTACCTACACCTACTCCAGAATTATGCATCCCGGAACTCACGATTGCAGAGCAGTGGCCGCAGATAGCATGGCGATACTGGAAATAGTGATACCAACTTCGCGAAGGAAAGCAATTTAATTAACATGGCAACACTAAGAAATGCGATGCCCCCTCGGGGCAATTGTCGACTGTTGAGTCCTTATCCCAGAAAAAGGATGAAGTAGTTAAGCCTCGCAGCAAGGATGTTCAACAGTTGCCAGGGTTGCCGTTGCTGGGTATGTAGCTCTGGCTACGACGGCGGTTGACTGTTTGTTGCTACTCCTCTTTGCAGTTCCTCCTTCCGCTATTGGCTCGACGCACCAGCACCATCACAATCATCTTTTGTCATTCCCCCCCCTCCTCATCCTCCTCATCTTCATCCCTCACCCCAATCGAATTCATAACTCGCCCTGTGAATGATTCGTAGGCTGGTGTGGTGCCCGCCTGTCCCAAGCTCCACAAGATCCTAATCCCTGTCCCCATCTCCCCGGTCGGACTAGCCTTGAATTGAATAGTACAAACACGCATACACACTGGATCATTAGAATACTTCGCTTACAGAATGAGAGCTGGTGCAACCATGACGAGCACCACCACCAGGAATACCAGAACACCTTTGGAGAGCAACAGGCGACCACCAAACCACGGCCAAACTACTTTGGGGTTCAGGAGCACGGCCGCAAAGCTTCCCGAAGTACAGGCGGGATTCAGGACGATCCCAGCGCACGGTCAGACTGTTTTTTGAAATACTGACAGGCAAACTGCTCTCCCCAAACAACCAACCAGCCAAGTAACAACATCTTATAGACTTCCAGACACTTAATCAGACCCCCCCAACTGACCCAAACAAGCAAACCCCAAACCCTAAACACTAAACTTCCCTTTTTGCAGCTGGCCTGCCTCCGCCAGGACGAACACTTGGCCACAGTGTGTACCCTAAACCCTAAACCAATAACAGCAAGTCAGACTCAGAAGCCCGACCCACTTAAAGCGGATGCAGCTGACATTGACCAGGCTTCACCGGTGGCCTCTTTGAGGCTCTCCCGGGCATCATGTGGGTAGCTCTCAGACCGGGGGTTTTATATATATATATAGAGGGTATAGGGTTTAGGGTTTGGGGTCCTCCTTCTTTTGCCTAGGGCTTGGGCTTACAGGGTTTAGGGTTTAGGGCTTAGGGTTTTAGGGCTTGGGGTTTTAGGGCTTAGGGTTTTAGGGCTTTGGGTTTTTTTTCCCACCCGCCCAGCTGACTAAGTCGCACCGCAGGGAACTCGTCTGAGGAAAGAGAAGAACTACGGAGGTCCAGGGTCGACTGCAAGCCCTCTAAGATAAGCCACCACCAAACTAACACACACAGTAAAGAAAGAGGGACTGCAGGGACGCCGACCTCACATCCTAACTGGACCTAGCAAAGAGACGCAGTATCCAAGCCCGAACAAACCAGGATAACCCAGACCGCGCTCAGCTTACTAGGTCAAGTGGAAGCCTACTCACGGGGTCCCTGGGTGACAAAATACAACAGGGGCTAGGAGGATACACACATAACGGGATGGCATTGGGACCCTGCAAGTTGGCTCAGTTGTCTAGGATCATCACTAAGGATAAAGGTGCCATTTCGGACACTCAAACAGGCTACACCGACTGTACACGTCCAAAAACTGCAAAGTGGCCACCCTACAGGACCATGGTGGGTATGCATGTAACTATCAATTTACGTCAGGCATTGAAAAGAATTACGAATGAATGCGTTCCTCAGCTTGCAAGATGACGAATTAACACACTCTCATCAGTTCGTAGATTGGATGAAAAGCCAGTCATGCAGAGGGCATCGCTACCACGGTTCTCGAACACCTGCACAGTTACTCGTCCCTCCATCGCACTCACGCGCTACCCAGCAGGACCAGAGACGCTCACCATGTAGTAAGCCATCGCCAGATATTGCCAGCATGGGTCCCAGTTCTGAAGCTCGCATACACTCCCCAGGGTTCGTGGCCCCTGAGTCGTACTTTTTGCGCTTCCAGCAAAATCCAGCGACGCTCGCCATCGAGTGAACACATAGTGCAGGCGATCGCATCACCATGTATTGCCGAACTGCCTGTTCGGAGCATACGCAGGGAGGCCCGTCAGCGCAGGTGTAAAGCTCAAATTCCGGTTCCGCCCGGCGGAGTTGCCCTGGAAGGTCTGCTGCGCAGGGTCAGTTCGCAAAGCATTGGATCATTCGCCCAGTCGAACTGGAAGGAGTCATCCATGCTGGTGGTGGAGCCATTCCTCGCTTAGCCATCCGTCAGAGGGGTTTAATAGGACATTGCAATGACATGCTCGTCATCGTCAGCAACCCATGCCCATCTCCTAGAGCAGAGAGGGGTTGCAACTGATGTGGAAGAGCAGAAAGGGGTTGCAACTGATGTGGAACCATCACGCAGCATATGGACCACCAGGTAAACGTAGGCCCAATCGTATTCCAGTCAGCAAGCATGGGGGGTTCTATAGCCACCTATGCAGTGTCCAGAGGGGAATACAGACAATGCTTGCATCCCCATACATGTGGGCCCATCTCCGTGCAGTCTATCCGTTCAGCAGTCCAATTCCAACGAGAGTTGCCAGCGGAGCAGTGGTAACAGAGTGCATCGGCCATGGCTGCAGGGGTTAGGGTCCAGACAGACAAGGACCAGACTGGAGAGAAGAGAGGGAGGCGAGAGAGAGGGTGCAGCAGGGAGGAAAGGGGGAGAATAAGAGAAGAGAGGGCAGAGTGTCCCCTTATTTAGTTAAAGGCAAAGACCCTTCAGGCGCAAGTACACCATCAGAAATCCTTCGAGGATCCCAGAAAGATTAATTCTGCCAAAAGCATCCGAAAGGTTCTCACTGAATTTCAACGCAACCAAAAGCGTATTGTAGCTTTGGAATTCCTAATTAGCTTGCATGGGCCACGGTGATACAATACAAGGAGTGCCTGCACAACCAAAGTACTAAAGGTGCACGTAGGGTAATAGTACTGAAGGTGCACGTAGGATAAAAAAACGTGGCGGAGGGTCTACATAGAACGAGTATTGCATCCATTCTAGCAGTGTCCTCGCCGTCGACGTATGTCCTGACGGTCCTTAGTCCACTCGCGAAGGCGAGCGGGAACGGTCGCGATCAGGAACCTCCTTGACGTCTTCTGATTCTGAGGAGGAGGAGGATGAGGTCACGAGTTCAGGGGGTTTGCGGGGTTGTAGGGACTCGTGTAGTCTCAGTTGCTTATCCACATGGTGACCATAGTAGGTTGTAAGGGCAAAGTCGTCTAGATCCTTACCTCGAAGGGGTGGTTGCATACCTCGTAAATGCAGGATGGTGTTGAAGTAGTCAGTATTGTTGACTGCCAGTTGGGGGCACCATGCATTCACGATGATTCGCTCCCCATCACTCCAGCGTTCAGTCCCGTGGAGCAGTGTTCTCCCCGAGAAAATGACAGCTTTATGGCGAATGTCATGAAAAAAGCCTTGGAGGCTATCCTGCGATCCCGGGGCCCAACCAGCTGTAGTCCCTCTGGGATGTTCGATCCACAGTCGGCCTTTGGTATAGTCAGAGAGGCCAATGATGGTTGTGGGTGCATGGGAGTTCCGGGCATCTCTGTGGGGAGGCTTCCCTGGACCTGTTCGTAGGGAGACAGTTGTGTAGGGGATGGGCTCAGGCTGTACAAGCTGGATGAAATGTGCGAGGAGGAGGCTGAGGTTCGGGAAAAGGGTAGTAAAGTTAGTTACTCGCCCATGCGTGCGGGGGCACTGTCCGATTACGATAAACATGTTTGTCCCTTCATCCGTCCCCCAGAATTTATTGGGAATCTCACGGACAATATCTGCCACAAGCTTGCACTGTTCCTCAATTCCCAAGCAATCTAAAGCAGTCAAAGCAAGGGAGGAACGGTCTTCAACCTCATATTCCTTCTCAAGTTCCCTGACAAGACGACGTGACATGCTTGCTAGACACGGGGTCCTGTGAGCCAAGAGTAGACAAAAGGAAGAATCATAGGGGGGGCAGGGGGCATCCTACATGTGTCTAGTATGGCGCGCAAACACAGGCCTGCCGCAATCGTACTTCTTTTGGCAGGAGCAGAGCGACAGTATCATTACGAATTAGCAAATAACATGTGCCAACGAATTAGGAATTACAGGGCAAAGTGAATTAAGGTTGGAGAGGGGTCAGAGGCACGGCCACAGGAGTTCACAGGCTAAAGGATCAACCAACAGACCAACTGCAGTGCAAGGTTTGGGACTCAAGGTGGCTCGATTGCTTACTGACTGTTAAAAAGCCCCATGAGGTACGCCAAGGCTTGCTGTGCCCTGGGGTCTCTCGGGTCAAAGGTAGGCTGGGGCCACCTGGCAGGCACATTCAAACTGTCAAAGAGCTGGAGCGGCTGACGCGGGCCCATCTGGTCACTCAGACGAATCACCGGTGGGTCCGTTCCAACATGCGGTGGGCTGCATGCCTGAGGTGGTCCTGTAGGATGCACCGGCGTCGAGGTCGGTGCTTGTGCTGGAACTTGTGGCGCAGGCGGTGTTGGCGTCGATGAGCTTGCTCCCGAGGGTGAGGTAGATGTGCCAGGTACCGGCGGAGGGGGCGCTTTCGTGGGCATCGCAGGAGTGAGCTTCAAGATGACCTTTTCCAGCTGTCCCTGTAGTTTGGACAAGGCATCTGACTGCTTCTTCAGCTTGTCGTCTTGCTCACGCAGGCCCTCTTGTAATCCAGCCAGTTGATCGCTATGCGTCCACTGTGAGTTGCTCACCTGGTTCACTTGGTTGAGGCAGCTGTTGGCGAGGCCATTCGTCTGCTTGATGTGGTTCATCAAGGCGTGGGACTGTGACGACGCCTCCATTGCACGGTCTTTGTGGGATTCGTGCCTCTCAAAAAGTTGCTCGATGTAGGCGATGATCTTCTCCAGGTCTGCGGATACACGGGCTGTGTGGTTGGCCCCCGAGGTGTCGTTGAAAGCACTCATCTCGACCTGCACTTTTGCCAACAGGTCTATGACAGCGTCCACTTTCTGCACAATTTGACTTTCCAGCCAGAGTTGCAGCGATCCTTGCATGTCATCAAGTGCCGACTGAGGCACGCCTTGTTGTGCGTTCTGAGCCAGGATGCGCGTAGGCTGTAGCGCAAGGTACATCTTCCTCATATTGGTAAGGATCGACCCATCGTCGGGGTTGGCCTGGGCTTGCAGAACGTAATGAATTCCATGCACCAAATTAGTCTTCACGTACTCCGGGATCATCTTCATGAAGCGGTCCACCGTGGCTCCAGCTGTGGTGTCCATGCTACCAGAGAGCTGGGTCTTGAGGTCGTCTAGTAATGTGGTGGCCGCTTGCGGAGTCAAAACAGCTCCAATATGTTGTTCCAGAAGTCGTTCAGCGTGGGCTTCGAGTTGTTGTCGCTTGGCGTCTGCATCCTGCATGTAGTGAGACAGTGCTTGCGTCAGGTTGAGCTGTACCCGGTTGATCCTCGAGTCCACGAAGGCACGGACTCCGATGAGGACGACCATGAGGAGTCCGAGCACACACAAACCCTGTAGCAACTGCCCAGTCAGGGCATCCACTTCCCCAAACAGGCTCCGCATCTGGAGGAAGGCAAGGGGTGTCATGGCCACAATATGGAAGGGAAAAGGGCGTTCGCTTGCTTTGAGCTGGTAAGCTGAGGGAGGGAGGCAAGGGACATGTAGGTAGGTTTGGAGCAGGGGAGCAGCAGGTAGGGGGGTGCTTCAGTGATAGGAGGTTCGGTGTCATTCGAGTACTAGACGCTGCCGATAAAGAAGCCTCACGCCTGGTTTAAGGGGGGTCTTTGGTAAGCCGACAAGAGCTCTCAAGCACACATGTCCAGCAGCTCTCTCTATGCTAGGAGTTCGGGGCAAACACACTGAAGGGACAGGAGGTCTCCATAGTTGTATGCTTCGCGGGCTGAAACTGTTTCTGTCAGCGCGTGGAAGACTGGGAAGCGAGCAAATCATTACAAATTAGACATGCAGTCATTATGCATAACTGAATTAAGCAGGTTTGGCACACGTTCAGCTAGTCGTCTGCTTGCACTTGTATAGTAGTCCCGTCGCTAAGGACTACATCTCTAGTACTGGTACCAGCAGGGTCCTGAGTGCCTTCTTGTGGTTCCTCAGGGGGTGAAACGGGGGGTGGTGCAGGCTTAACCAATTTGTCAACCGTATGGAGATGCAAAGCAAGCGTGTTCTGAAGCACAGCAATAGAAGAGTCACGAGACTGTTCACTTTGAGATAGTGCCTGCAACGTATATGCAATGAAACGGAGTGCTGGCAAGACATGCTCGTGCAGATTATCATGCAGGTCATTATCAAGCCTCAGAATATCGTTAAAATAGGTGACGTGCGAGAAACCAGAGCCTTCGAACATCTGCTTGTGGGTGGCGAGGGTGTTACGGAAGGTCACTTCCAGGTCCTTTATAGCTCGGGCCACAACTGCCGTATGTTCCTGGAAAAGCGAGTTCTCCTTCCGCATCACATCATCCATCGCCTGGAAGACATCATTGATGCACCCAGCTGTCGCCTCGTACATTTGTTCGATAGTGTCAACCGCTCCGGTCAGTGCTGTCACCCTCGCGCCAAGGCCACGAATGGTTTTTTCGATCTGGTCTTGCACCCGGAGGATCATCGACTGCAGCATGACGTTCTGATTTCGTAGGTACTGTGTAGCAGTGTGTACCTGCTTCTGCACCCTATCAGAAAAAACTGCCGGTTCAGAGATGATCACAGGAGTGTTGGAGATACGGATATTTTCCATGAGCTGGTTGAGCTGGGGCTGCACTCTCTGCAGGTCTCGGCTCATCTTCCACATACTCAGGAGCATGCCAAGAGCAAAACACGCCCCTGTAAGGAGGAGGGCTAGATGCAGGGTGTCAGGATTTCCCCAGGCCATGGGAACACTCGCAGGGGAGGCTGTACACTCGGGCATTTATTGTACGTCCTGCCCCCCCCTCTCCTGATTCAGCGAGGCGCGTAAAGGCTGCAGAGGGCATGTCAGCTTGACACAAAAAAGAGGCCATGCAGGACTGCAAGTTCAGGTGCAAAAGTTCCTAATTAGTGCAGCGGGGAAACATGCAACCGAGTTATGCAGAGCTCCTGAATTCCTGAAATTCCGAAAAAAACCTGAATTCCTGAAATTCCGAAAGCAAACAACGACACGAAGACATGCAAGTGCTAAAAAGCGAGAAGGCGGGCGAAAGGGGGGAGCGAATTTTATGGGGAGGGTGCATGCAGCTTGCTTTCACCACCAAGGCTTGAGGGAAGGGCAGGCATCATGTACACTGACGAATCTGCTTAGCGCATAGTCCCAGCCTCGCAGGAGAGCACGTCCGATAGGCAGGGTGACGGCTCTCTTTGCCGAGGCATCCGCAAGTTCATTGAGGGGGTCTCCTTTATGAGCCCGTACATGAAGCGGAACAACAAACTCCCTCACTTGCTCCCACCTCTGCCTGAGCTGACATACCTCCGCTAGATTGGCTGTTGAGATGATGGAATCCGATAAGATGTGCAGGACATGGAGCGAATCACAGTGCAACTCCACCAAATGACCCGGAAAATCCCGTCTGAGGCGAGCACAAATCTTGAGTGCCTGTGTTGCAGCTATTAGTTCGGCTCTAATGTTGGTACATCTATCGGCTATGGGAACTGAGAACAGGACCAGATCGTCAGGTGTTCGCCCATAGGGCGGAAGCACGACTACGCCTGCTCCTCCCGCGTAGTCGGAGGAGCTTCCGTCCGAGGAAACTCTGAACACTCCTTGGTTGGACTCGGCTTCTGGTCCTGGCACGTGTTTGTATGCGACATCGTATGGTTCCTCGACGGGAGGGTGGCGCAGAGGCAATAACCAGAAGCGGTCACCAACATGCAGCAAGGATCTACCTAGGAGTTCAACAAATTCCAGGCGTGGGTACCATCCAGTGCTGTGGGGATAGTTGCAGGAGATCCAGTCACTGATAAAAGATTTCCACTGTTCTCTGTCTTTGGCCTGCGGGATCCAGTTGCCAAGTCGCTCAACTCTTTCCCACTGTAGTTGAATCCATCGTACCGCATCAGGCCAGAAACCTCTAGCTCGGCGGCTCCCGGGGTTACTCTCGAGCCAGTCATGGTCCCTAAAGCGTATTACCTTGGTAATGGGACGCCAGTCAAACTCCGTGTACCTGGCAGCATGCCCCCAGTACCGAAGGAAGCATTCAGCATGCCCAATTGCCCATCGGGTATGCGAGCAGGCTTGGGCTGCCATCCTGCCTGCCCTTCTTCTACAGACCCAATCGTGAACCTTGTCCTGCAGGCCATCATATGCGGGACGCAGCATGGATGCAAGAAGGGAGGTCTGGAGGGTATCTAGCAGTCGCTTGACCTCAGCAACGGGTCGAAAGGCAGCACTTGCCCACTTCCATTTGTTTGTGACATAGGCATCGAACAGCTGCAAACGTTTCTTGAGGGGTGCCGTCCCCCGACAAAGAAAACCACTATGTCCCCAAAAGGCCCCGGTTGCCGCAGCCAGGCGGCGGGACAAAGCAGTCCCACAGCTGAGGCCAAAACCGACAAGGATACCTAAGTAGATGAAGGCCTCTGCGTGCTTAATCGCAAGTTCAGGGTCAACCCCAGGTAGAAGGAGAGGGGTCGTGTCGAGCCCTGGACTGCATATAAAGTGGCATTTGTCCAAAGCAAGGTGCAGTCCTATCGTCGCGAAGGTATGCTTGAGTTCCTGGAGCATGTCGAGCATATGTTCTCGGGACGACGAGAGCAGCACGACATCGTCTGCGTACAGGATAGCATGTAGGCTGGTCCCTTGTTCGTCCTGTATCCACGTGGGATATTTCTCCTTCCACTTATGGAACAACGGGCTCGCAAAATGGTCTAAGATGCGAGCGAACAGCTCCGCGGAATACGACGACCCCTGTTTCAGGCCACAGCCAAGGGGCTGTTCCCAACTCTCGTTGCCGAGGGACATGCAAGCAACCGAATTACAAATTATGAGGAGCATGATGTAGGCTTCCCGCGAGGGTCCGAGAGAAGCCAAGAAGCGTGCTGTGGCTGCATGCGACAATGTATCAAACGCTTGGGAAATATCTAATTTAGTTGCGTAGAGGGGTAGCTTCCACTGCTGTGATTGCCTGACAACATGTTGTAGGGTTAGGGAACCGTCAAGGCTCTGAGCACCGGGCAAGCCTGACAGCTGGTGGGAGTGCATGGGGGGAAAGAGTCGTCGAAGTCGTAGCAAGAGCACCTTGGTAAAGAGTTTACCTGGCGTGGAAGAGAGAACAATCGGTCGAAGGTCTTTTGGCTTGGTGGGTCGCTTGATTTTGGGTATCAAGGTTACTTGGGATTTTAGCCACCTCTCCGGAATTGGGGCCGCTTGATGCAATACTGAATTAAAGAAGCTCACGAATTCGCATTGCAAGCTAGACTGCATAATTGAAAACATTAATTCGTAAGGTACCCCGTCCTGCCCGGTGCTTTTTCCTGCCTTAGTAGTGTCAAGCACCGTCTGGATTTCCTCAGGGGTAATGGGGGATGCGTTGGGGACACAATCAACAAGGGCGAGGTAGGCATCAACAGTAGCCTGGGGGCAAGTGGGCTCCAGGGGGGTGTACTTGGTTTTGTAGAAGTTCTTCATCGCACGTGCTGCCTTTTCCTGACCGCCTGCTCGCATAATGAATGACCCCTGGGAGAAACGGGTAGATTGACGGCGTTTAAAGAAACTTACCGCGTGGAAGTCCCCTGCAGCTCCTCGGTCCAACAGGGAGGTCATCCAAGCTTTCTTTGCCAAGGCTCGGGCTGTAGCGATCTTTTGGGCTGTTTCCCTGGATTGACTCCCCGACTGTCTACGCCGGAGGCTAATCATGGCTTTGATTTCCGGGGTGTCCCTGTATCGAAGCGAACCCGGCCGCGAACATGCTTGACTCGCCAACCCTTGGATCGTTGAATCTGTTAGGGGGAGGTCAAGTGTCAATAGCTGTTCGTGCAGGCTCTCGCACAGGCCGGGGGCAGCGCTCAAGTCTACTTTCCACTTACCACATCGATGTATGTTTGAATATCCCAAGGCTCGATTTTTTGCAGTTTTCCTAAGGTCCTGAAGCGCCAGGGTGCAGCATCTGTGATCAGAGCCGAGGACGACGTCGGAATCCTCCAAGACTTCAGACCAGAGGGCCTGCCGCGTTCCTGTCGAAAAAAGGACGTAGTCGATGCGGGAGCTAGAGCCTCGAGAATTTAGCCAGGTGGGCTTGTGGGGGTACGTGCGGTGAAGTGCGAATTCGGCCAAGAGACCCTCAAGCAGAACCCTTCTCTCGTCGTTCTCGTTTGAGTGAAGGGACATGAGGTCCAAATTCAGGTCTGCAAGAACGGTGATTTGGTCCATGTACCGCATGCTGTGCAAGAGGTCCCTAAGCTCGTCTAGCTGCTCATGCCATACCTGCAAACAGTCCTGTCGCTGCCTGTGGGGAAGATGCAAGCTAATTACGAATTCTTTACGTCCACCATGCTGCAGAGTCACAGCCAGCCCGGTTAGGAGAGGCTTGACATCAGTCACTTTGGAGAGGGCCTCAAGGGGGAGGCCAATTACAGTCCCATGGAAACTCTTCAAAGGAAATGACATAAAGGTCACGTAGCTAGTAGCCCCAAGACGCATTTCATCTTGGTCCCAGCCCAGAAAGGCAAGTTCTTTCAAGCCTCCTACTTCCTGGAAAGCAAAAAAATCGACCCCCTCACCACCCAAAAGATCCCAACACCTGGACACGTCCTCAATTGTTTTGCCTCGAAGGTTCCAGGTTCTGTAGTAGGAAACTTTGGCGTGGTAGGGGGGGGGGGGGCCCTAGGGGCGGCTCGTTGTCCGGCTATCCCACAGTTCAGCGAGCTGGGCTGCAGGGAGACCAGTGGCTTTGGAGAAGTTCTCCGCTTTGATGAACCAACCTGAGTGGTTCCCCCTCGGATCCGAGAGAGGAAAGTCGTGTTCCTGGAGGGAGTCGGTTTGGTGAGGGGCCCCTAGGATATTAATGTTTCCGACAAAGAGTTTTCCCCTCCAGTCAATCTCGGCATGCTTTTTGCGAAGTCCTCCTCCAAACGTCAACTGATCTACGAATTCCTTGACGCTGACGATAGCCCTGATTTTAGCCCTGTCCTCTGGGCTGCGGTGGCGTTGGATCCAAATGGTCCTTCCCTCATTCCCAGGCACATTGCTGGTCCACTTACGACTTTTCAGCTTCTCCAGGACTTCAGTCTGAAAAGCTCTCTGCTGAGGGATGGTTTTGTAGTTGGGGGGGAACTGAAGGATCACACGAACATGAGAGGTCCTAGAGTAAGGTGACCAGATTTCCAGCCATGCATTGGGGATTTGGGCAGCTTCAAAGATGGCTTTGGCTTCCTCTACTGCCTCGTCGCGTCGGCAGTCCTCCCAACCGCCGACGGCCATCTGGAGCTCCTCTTCGATGTTGCGTTCTCGCTGAGGCGTCAGGCTGCGGGCTCCAGGAGAAGGGGGTGCACGGGAAGGAGTGGGCGATCTAGATGCCGCCCGCAGTTCTTTGACCTCCTTTTCGAGAGCTTCAATACGACTGATACTCCCCTCGTGGAGTCGGTTATGAGTTTGCAAAGCCGTGTCATGATGGTCAAGTCTTTCCCCGTGTTTACGGACTTCAGTCGCAAACTGAGCTATTTCACGATGCATTTCCGTCTGTCGGCAGCTAATATCGGAAACGTCTGCTTTCAGGGGTTCGAGGTGGGCGAGTAAACGACCCTCCAAGGCTCCGACCCAGGGCGGCGTGTCATGATCATAAGGGGACGCTCTCTCGCGTCGGCTGCGGGGGGGGACATGGGGCACTGGCAAGGCCTGTGCTCCTCGTAGCTCATCCTCCTGTTCTGTAGTCGCGCCTTTACCCACAGGGTCCAAGTCGAAGAACTCCACTTCAAAGGGCTTGCGGTCTTTAGGGCGAGCTTCTTGTCCGAACCCAGGAGGTTCAAGTCTGGGGACTTTCGGGGGAGGAGGTTTTCGGGAGGATTCACTTCCTGAGCTGTCCTTGTCGCTACGCTTCACTAAGAGACGTTCCAGGGCACTAGTATGGTGTCCCAGTGGTTCAGCTGTTGGGGGGACAGGAATGAACTCCTCCATTGAATCAACTTTCCGGGCGGGGATGCGGTTGGGGTCCTTCGGAACAGGGGGTTCAACCCAAGGACGTAACCCATCCAAATCTTCCGAAATCCCAGCTTCAGGTGTAGCAGCAGCAGTGGAAGCATCCTTAGCCGTCACGGCATCATCCTTATCATCCCCAGTGGCATCTACCTCAATTTCAAACGTGGGCCCAGGGGGGGCAATTGTGTCCTGACTGTCGGGTCCGTCCTCCCCCCAAAAGGCACAGTCGTAGCCTGGCTAATTGCAGTATCCACCCCCCCTGCAATGGCACGTGCATGTCGACACACAATTTCCCCAGCACTCTCTCGAATTCCTCTCAAATGACCCCCTTCAACCCCATCAGCAAAAAGAGCAGTCGGAGTAGACGCTGCGTGCCCGGAGATCATGGCAAGAGGCAGTCGAAGGGGGGGAGGAAGTCAAGCGCAGGAGAGAGAGGAGAGAGGAGCGAAAGAGGAAGAGGGGACAAGGGGTGGAGAGCCAACCAACCGACCAGACGACAGGACTCGAGCCGAAATCTTGAGCCAAAATGGCCTTGAGCCAAAATGGCTTGAGCCAAAATGGCTTTGGGTTTAGGGCTTAGGGTTTAGGGTCCTCCTTTGGGGTGTTGGGTCTAGGGCTTTCTGACCTTGAGGATTCTAGAAAAGGATGGTCGGCTTTATTAGGGCCTCTTGGGGTTGACTAGGGTTTACTTGGGCTTTTTAGGGCTTCAGGTCTTGAACCTCAACCTACATTTTGGGGTTGCAGGTAGCTCTCCCGTTCGGGCGCTGACGAACTCGTCTATGCGTTGCCAGTCCAGGGGGCTACCCACGTCGGACCCTGGAGGAAGCCCCCAGAAACGATGATTTTTTGTTAGGAACCAAAAGCACTGTTGGCTCAAGAGTTGAAGGCTTGAGGACTTTTTATGTGCACGTTTTGCGAAAACTGAGCTTTGTTCTTGACCCCTCCTCCGTCTGTCTGTCTGCCAGCAGTTCGATCTTTTGAACTTGAGAAGGTAGGGCACTTGCCTTCGGGGCCACGATAAAGGTTCCAGGCAAATGTGCTCCCTGTCGTCCCGGATACCAGTGTACAAAGCTACTGGATATGGCTCCCACTAGACCATTCCAAAACAAACTTCCTGCGCAATCTTGCCTGTTTTGCCTCACAAGACAGATCCGAACCCATCGGCCTAGGGGGGTTGAAGGGATCGAGACAAGATGCACAGGACCATGGCAGGACCCATGGGAGGCTCCAAAATTTTGGGAACACTTATGTCAGTCCTGAGCTGTAGGATCCTGGCTATACCCATAGGCCCCTAAGTAGTTCCTCTTTGGGATTACCTTATAGGATTCTAACTATAAGCCATAAAAAGGAACTACTAAGGAGCCTAGGGGTATACACCATCTGCACAAGGACTCCTCGGTTTTGAATACCTTTAAACCCTAGAGAGGCCCTGGGCACTAAGGGGTTAAAGCCGAAAACTTAGGCCTTAAAGCCTAAACCCCAAAGCCTCAACCCTAAATCCTCAACCCTAAACCCTATAAACCCTATAAGCCCTAAGCCCTATAAACCCTAAACCCTGTCGAAATCATGAACTGAGGCCTCTGGACCATGTCCATGACACTAGGGCTCCATGCTGCTACGGCTTGGCCACTGGCCCAGTGTCAGGTGTTGAGGGTTTATGATTTGGGGTTTAGGGTTTGGGGGCTGAGGTTTTGGGCTTAGGATTTGTGGCTTATCACAGGGCTGAAGCGGTTTTATGGGGCTTGTAGGGTTTTACTGGATTTAATTATGGGGTTTCGGTTTTGGGTTTGCGGCAGTTTGTTCGGGCTTACCGGGCTTCTAGGGCTTATAGGGCCACTGTAGGGGTCCATTATACCCATAGGCTCCTTAGTAGTTCCTTTTTGGGATTACCTTTTAATTTTCGGGTTCTAAATATAAACCAAAAAAAGGAACTACTTAGGAGCCTATGGGTCACGATTAGGGAGGACTGTGACTGTGGATCGGTGGATGGTAGATCCAGGTACCTTAAAGCTCTTCAAGCTTTCCTGAAAGCAGCCAGTTGCAAGTTCGTGGAAGCCCTGCGTTCTGCCTTCAAAAAGTGTCAACGTGCCCAATGCCGGTTTTCATGTGCATACATACATGCATAGTTCTCTAAATTAGGGGCCGTATTTTTAGAGCCCAAATATAGTACGACGGCACCCTGTTAAACAGGATGCTCAAAAAAGGATCCTAATTCCGAGAACTACCCTTATATTACCTGTATAGAAACCCTTGTAGATCCCTTTTTAAGGAACCCCAAAAGGGACCCTACTTCAGACAATTACACCGCACATGCATCCCTGGAGTTTCCCAGGTTTGGCACCTTAGCTTGGGCGGTGCTGAACATCTGCCACTCGGCCCGGCACGGAGGGTTCGTTCCCGGTCACCGCCGCCTCTACCCCTGCGAACCCTAATTGTCCTAGGTACTGTTATGGGGGATACTTTCCCAAATCATAAATAGTAATTCTTAATATAGAAGCCCTACATTCTACTATATAGGTACTTTGGACCCTTTGGGGAAGTCTCCAGATCCACACGAGGCCAAAACGTCTGAACCATGGGATTCTGGTGCTCACAGGGCTTTCTGACAAGTTGGGGTGTGTGTGTGTGTGAGCATCGTGTTTGCAGGTTCCGTATGCTTCCTTTCTTAGCTTTTTGGCGAGTCGCCAAGCTCCGTCCAATAACGTACTCAGCAGGCCCTGACGACCTTCGGACGGCAGGCGTGCATCTATTTTGGACCCACAAAGGGACCCCTGCTTTAGAGCATCGGCTAGTAGCACACAGTCTGAAACCACCCACGCTGAGATCTGCAGCCCCTCAGCTCGTGATCTTCAAAGACAACCTGAGATCAGAAGTTTCCGCTTTTCAAGATGATACCCTATCCTTGTTGAGAGGCCGAAATTATCGAATTGTTAAACCGACCTATATACACCCTACAGCTCCCCGGGTCTATATTTTGATGAGAAACTTGAAGCACAGGGCATACGTCTTAGCGATGCAAGCCGCCGAAATTGCTGCCATGAGATTTAGGTAACCACCTGCCTTTTGACACCCAGATCCATCTGCCACTGCCGCCGCGGGCCCTGAGTGCTGAGGGTGGATCAGGTTTGGAAACGTGTATGTCTGTGTGGGTGTGTGACAGAGTGAGAATGCGTGCTTGTCGACAAGGCCACTCATCCGCGTGTGTATGTGCAGTATGTACACGTATGCTGTTTGTTTGTTTGTTTGCTTGTCTGTTTGTTTGTATCCTTGCTTGCTTGTTTAGTTGGTTGCTTGTTTGAGTTTATCTGTGTGTGTTTGTCGGCTTGTTTGTTTGCTGTTTTCTTGCACATGCACGAACACTAGTCTACAGGTTAATAATGGTACATTGCCAACTATGGTTGGCCTCTCAACAGTACGTACATCCAGGCAAACAGGCATTCATGTGTCCAGGATCTCATGCCACTGTCCACAAGCTCACGAAGAATCACTATGTACATATGTATATACCAATTAATACTTACACATATCTGTATATGCATATAGATAGAAAGATAGTGCACATCTGCACGAAAAATGACGGAGACAAGCCGGCATGCAGGAGTGACTTTCGAGCAGCATTGGCCTGAGGTATCCAGCTTTTCCAAAGGATCACAACACGCGTGGAGCTGAGATTTGCCTCGCGATGAAGTGCTGGGCACCAGTGGAGTCTAGGTACTGCTGCGCACTGCTATGCGTCTTGAATCTAGGTCTGGAGGTCCACACCTAAAGAACGACCAGCTTGCATAACCTTCCGACTGCCGGTGTTTCCGATTGCTACTTATCTCGGGTCCGATTACGAAGTGGTCGGTGCTCCAGAGTCGTGGGGGGGATGCCTACCTAGTAGACCAAGGTGTTGAGGGTTCCGGGGTTTCGGGGCTAAGCTAAGTGTGCAGAGTTTGGGGCTTGCTTGGGGTTTAGGCACAGAGTTTGAGATTTGGGTTTCAAGCTGTGGGTCTAGGGCTGAGGTTTGGGATGTCGGTGAAAGGAGTCTTATCTTGCTACGGCCCTACCCATAGGCCCTAGGTAGTTCCTTTTTGGGATTACCTTCTAGGATTCTAAGTATAAACCACAAAGAGCAACTACTTAGGGGCCTATGGGTAAACCCTAAACCCGAGTTTGCTACGGCCTCCGCACATGAATGAACCCGGAAGTGCGGTTGTGAGCGCTGCCGTGGCGGCCTTGACTTGAACGTTTAGCGTTTAGGGCTAAAATAGCCCAAAAGCCTGACATAATAGGGTCTTTGGGCCCAAAAGCCTAAAAATATGAGTCCTTTGAGGGTAAGGATTAGGGTTTAGGGTTAAGGGCTTTAAGGGCTTAGCTTGGGTAGGTGGCTGCATTCCCAGACCTTCGATGCCCTTGTTCAGGTCCTCTCAACAAACCCGCTTTACAAACAAGAAATAGTGACATAGACCTTTGGCAGCAACTTCTTGGAAGTGGGGGCTCTTAGACCATTGTCCCGCGCCAGGCACCACCGTTTTCCAAACACCAACTACGCCACGCTGAGTACAATGACGGACACTGGAACGGTGGTTCCATTGGTAGATTGAGTTCGGAGGTTTTGGGACTGAAGATTGAGGACGGAAGTACCCTAAACCCTAAACCCCTAAACCCGAAACCCTAAACTAGAATCCACAACAGTGGTATGTTCCAGCTTACTGGAGGCCTTCTCGGGTGTGAGTTCAGAGATGGTGGTCAGGTATGGTGCGTGTTTGCCAGTTTGGGACTTAGTGGCACACGGAGAGCTTTAGAAAGCAGTCTCGTAAAATGGAATCCCGCTTGTGATAAGGCATACCTTGCAACTGCTCGCGAAGTTGACCTAGTCTTCTAATCAGGTTCTTCCGACGGAGCATAACGCATGTTTGGATTGCTGGGCCATAGTTTTGGCATCCGGGGATGGGTATATATGATCAACTGCGTGTGTGTGTTCGATTCTGAACAAAGGATCACCGCCAGAGCATCGCAGCAAAGAAGGAACA